GGGGGCGGGCCAACTGGGGTGGGAGAGGCCAATCAAGGGTGGGGCAGCTGCAGGGAGGGGCTGCGGGAATTGGCCAGCTGGCCCCACCCCCAAAGTGGCGTCATAGTGACCAGTTGTTCTGGTCGTTATAGATTCTGGTGGCTGGGTTTTTATATATATAGATAGTCAGTTTCAAATCACTTCTTTTCACTCCAACTTCACATTCAAGGTTAAATCAACACACTCACATAAAATGTTCCTTTATCAAATTATCAGGCAGTTAAGCCACTCACCATGTGTTTGGCAAAGCTCCCACTGGGACCAGTGTTGCGTACCAGGTGCCCTTCAGAGGGGAAGTTAAAGCTGCCAGTGTTCAGGTTTTCTCGTGTGGAGTGATTACCAAAGAGAACAAATGGTTGTCTATTAGGGCTAGAGTGGCAAATTAAAAACATGTGATTAGAAAAGACTCCTGGCTTGGGCACCTTCCCAGTGAGTGAATTCTCGGGCTTTTCTAAGTGGCATCATGCAGTCTCAGCAAAGTGGTCAGTTATCATCCACCTTATGGTCATCATAGTACCATGCTCTTTTTTCTTTCATAGCACCAAACAGAGTTTATAATTATATATTTCTTTTTTAAAATATATTTTTATTGATTTCAGAGAGGAAGAGAGAGGGAGAGAGATAGAAACATCAATGATGAGAGAGAATCACCAATTGGCTGCCTCTTGCACACCCTCTACAGGGGATCGAGCCTACAACACAGGCATGTGCCCTTGACCAGAATCAAACCCTTCAGTCCGCAGGCCACGGCTCTATCCACTGAGTCAAACCAACTAGTGCTGTGATTATATATTTCTTTGTGAGGTTGCTTGTCTAATGTCTTCTTTCTCCACCACACTATACATTCCGTGAGGGCAGAGACCACGTCTGTTTTATTTTTTAACCATGGATCTCTTACTTATTATTCATATGTTTTCAATAAATATTGAATGACAAAAGGTTATTTTTAAAACATAGTTCTGCTATGGGCCAAATGTTTGTGTCCCCATAAACTCATATGTTAAAATTCTCACCCCCATTCTTAGCGCCTAAGAATGGATCCCTCATTAAAGGGATTATAGAAGAGGCTCTTATAAAAGAGGTTCCAGAGTGATCCCTAGCCTTTTCTACCATCGAGGTTACAGATAAACACAACCATCTATGAGAAAGTGGGTCCTCACCAGACACTGAATCTGCCAGCACCATGATCAAAGATGTCCCAGCCTCCAGAACTGTGAGAAATACATGTGTTTTTGTTTGTGTATAAGCCACCCAGTTTATGGTATTTTTGTCATAACAGCTAAAACAGACTGCGAGTTTCCTCTATCATCTAAGCTTTCCTTAAAATGCTCTTAGTGTATATCATGCGGAAAATTCTTTGCATTTCTTTTCATTACTCTTAAAAATACTTCCTTAAGCTTCAGGCCAACAGGACTCTTAAAAGTAAACATGACTGATTTTTCTTCTGAAGCTTAATTCAAGCTAGGTGACACTTTGGGCAGAAAAAGATGACTGAATCCTAGCCAGGGTAATTTGTCTCACTATCAGACTGGATTGGAATTGGGGAAGAAAAGAAAGGAAAGATCTATTCTCATTTATCCATCAGAGGAACTATCCCCTCCTGATTATCGTGACAAGAGTGGTGCTGAAGGAAACACATCAAAGAAAACAAATGCATATGTACCCTCACAGCTCCCATGTCTTCCTGGAGCAGGACCTTTATGACTAGATGATGCCACTTATTCCCTACAAGCCACTGCCCAGCCCTTGCACATTCTGCTTCCTCTAGCTTTCCTGGGCTGGGATGGAATAAAAAATTCCTTTCTTTAGGTTTCAGCAAGCTACAATGTTCTAAAAGCTAGTTTACAATAAAACTATATTTTTAAAAATACTGTCAGGCTGATGTGGCTCAGTGGTTGAGCGTTGACCCAAGAACCAGGAAGTCAGGGTTCAATTCCCAGTCAGGGCACATGCCGGATTGCAGCCTCGATCCCCAGTAGAGGGCATGCAGAAGACAGCCAATTGATGTTATTGATATTTCTCTCTCTCTGTCTCTCCCTTCCTCTCTGAAATCATTTTAAAAAATACAAAAATACAAAAGCAGTGAAACAATTTTACAGAATATGGATTTCTTACCCTGTGATGACTAAAGTCAACTCATATTTTCATAATTCTAGCTTCTAGACTCAGATGCTCCTCCACCTCCACCCTTCTTTGCCAAACCCATTTTTTCTATTACCATTCACCTTTCTTTCCCAAGAACCTTACCTGTTTTCAGTGATATGGCTAGAGATCATTCCATGACTGAAATAACTTCTGAATGGCTAAAAAAGAAGCAAACATTGTACATGTTAAGATCATAATCTTATAAAACAATCACAAAACCTCTCATGTATATTTGTATGAACTAGTATGTATAAATATACACTGAGTGGCCAGATTATTATGATGGGCCAGATTATTATGACCACCCCACCAGTACTTCGTTGGGCCACCTTTTGCCTTCTATACTGCGGCAATTCTTCTTGGCATTGATTCCACGAGATGTTGAAAGGTGATACGAGGAATCTGACACCATGCCTGATGAATAGCACTGTCCAGTTCTGTGAGGTTTGATGGTTGTGGAATCAGCTGCCTGATGGCTCTTTTAACTTCGTCCCACAAATGCTCAATTGGATTGAGATCTGGTGATTGTGGAGGCCACCTAAGCAAGGTAAAGTCTCCCTCATGTACCTGAAACCACTCCTGCACAATATGAGCACTGTGGCATGGCGCATTATCTTGTTGGAAGAAGCCATATCCATTGGGATACGCCATCAACATGATAGGATGAACTTGATCAGCAATGATACTTAGGTATGTTGTGCTATTCAGACGTTTATAGTGATCTGGCCCTCTAGCAACTTCAGAGGGAAATTATAGCTAATTTGCCTACAAACATGAGGTGGTCATAATACTCTGGCCACTCAGTGTATATACCCATAGTTTGTGTGTGGGGGTATGTGGAGAGAGATGTATGTTTGTAGTTTATCATAAGAACATGGAAGGACATATGTGGTGGATAGTAAAATGAATTTTGGGGACAGGTAACAAAAAAAACAAAGCAAAGGAAAAATGACAAGAGGCTGCAAAAGAAAAGGAAAGAAAAAGAAAGGTAAAGAAAAGAAATTCTTGTCAAATTTTATAGTTTTTAAACGACTGAAAGGAAATTGGAACAACCACCATCTATGGTCCAAGTTACTAACCACGTGGGAATCTTTTCTTTTATTAAAAATTTTTCCCTATATTGTCAATAAAAGAATATATGTTAATTCTAATTAACCGAAAATCAGCAATGAGGAAGAATCCAAGGAACTTAAGAAGTACACTGATAGATGCTGTGCATAGTGCTAGGTTTAACATTAATCAAAAATTGATATGTGGGTTCAAAAATTTAATCTCCTTAACTAACATCTATTGCCCTCCCCTCCCCCATTATATAACTAATATATGTTTATTTTAGAATACAATAAAAGCCACATACAATCTCTAAGAACTATTAACATTATGGTACATTTTCTTCAAATCTTTTTTCTATGGTACATCCATATAATATATGATTGTACCAAAATTTACTAAATAGTCTTTTATTCCTAGAAATTTACATTGCTACTAACTCATCTACACTAATAAAAGAGAAACATGCAAATTAACCATCACTCTCCTACACCCACCAGCCAATCAGGAGCAAGTATGCAAATTAACACAGTTAAGATGGCAGCAACTATGGAGCTGAAGCAAGCAGGAGGCTTGGGCTGCCCCGGCGATGGAGGAAGCCAAGCTTCCCACCTGCCCTGGCTGGCCCTGGGCTCCGCTCAAGGCTACAAGTTTCAATTACAGAAGATAAATAAATCCCAGATACCTGCTTCCAGCCCGCCCTAGCCTCCACTCAAGGAGGCACTGAAGAAAAAAAAAGAAAAAGAAAAAAAGGAGAGGCTGGGAGCTTGGGTCACCGGGGGGCATGGCCAGCCTGAAAATGGCCATCAGCCCCTCACCCAGGCTGGCCAGGCACCCCAGCGGGACTCCCCCCTCCAACTCTGAAGGGGCTGTGGGCAGCCTGAAAATGGCCCTCAGCCCCTCACCCAGGCTGGCCACACCCCCATGGGGTGAGGGTCCCCGCTGGGGGGCTTGGCCAGCCTGAAAACGGCCCTCAGCCCCTCACCCAGGCTGGCCAGGCACCCCAGCAGGACCCCCACCCTGATCCAGGACACACTTCAGGGCAAACCAGCGGGCCCCCACCTATGCACCAGGCCTCTATCTATATTAATAAAAGGGTAATATGCTAATTAGATTGGGAGACCTTCCAGGAGACCTTCCAGACGTTCTTCTGGACAAAGCCATGGTGGCAGGGCCAAGGTAAAGGCGGTTAGAGGCCAAGAGGGTAGGGCAGTTGTGGATTTGATCAAGCTGACAGGGGAGTGGTTGGGGGTGATCAGGCTGGCAGGCAGAAGCAATTCAGGGCAATCAGGTAGGCAGGCAGGTGAGTGGTTAGGAGCCAGCAGTCCTGTATTGTGAGAGGGATGTCTGACTGCCGGTTTAGGCCCAATCCCTGTAAACCGGCAGTAGGACATCCTTCGAGGGGTCCCAGATTGGAGAGGGCGCAGGCTGGGCTGAGCGACACCCCTCACCCCGTGCACAAATTTTGTGCACTGGGCCACTAGTATAATAAATAACACTGTAAGAACTCTGCAGAACTTTTAACTGCATTTCTGATTATTTCCTTAATGCAGATCAGGAAATTGAATTATAGGGTAAAATGCCAGAACTAAATATGCCAAATTGTTTTTCAAAAAAGTTTTATCAATGTGCAGATCCACTTACAATTATATGACTATGCCTATTTTAGGGTATCACCCTAAGTACTATCCATTAAATGTCCACTTAAAAATATATTTGTCAAGTTGATAAATGAAAAATGGTACCTCATTATTGTTTTATTTTACATTTCTTTGATTTTTACTAGTAATGAAGTAGGTTATTTCAGATATGTTCAATGAACATTTGGATTTCCCTTTGGTAATTTACTGTTATTTACATCCTGTAGATGTTTATCAATTGGAGTTTTGGTACTTGTCTTACTTATTTGTAAAGCCTATTTACATATTAAAATAATAATAGCTTAAAACGTACTGAGGGGTTTACTATCTGGACTGTGATAGGCATTTAAATGTATTATCTGAAATAATCCTCATAACAACTTATGCGGTTCATTCTATCATTAACCCCTCTCTGGGGATGAGTTGGCTAAGACACAAAAGTTAATTAAGTGGTCCTAGGTCACAGAGTTAGTGTGAACCGAATAGCTGGGATTCTAACTGAGTAGGCATTTGGGAAAAAAAGGTAAAATTAGGTCCACACACATACAAGAATCCCAAATGAATTATGGATCTAAATTTTAAAAATCAAACCATACAATTTCCAAAAAGGTGAGCTCCTGTTTAAACTTAGATGAAAGCCTTTACTTATACAATGATTCAAAGTCCAGAGGGAATATAAGGAAATATTAATAAATTTACATAAAAATAAAAAAGTGTGCATGACCAAAGAAAAAGGAATTGATGAACACTGAGGAAATATCTGAAATACATACCACAGACAAAAAGTTAATAACCTAAACATATAAAGAACTCTTTAAAAGTAAGGGACAAAAGACCTAAAACCTATGCTCTCCATTTCAGTTAATATTGTAAAATGTTAAAATGGGAAAAAAACATGAAAATAAAATATAAAATGGCCTTCAAACAAAAAATGCAAATTCAAATAATACCAAGATGCCCTGGTAGGGTAGCTCAGTTGGTTAGAGCATCATCCCAATAAGCCAAGGTTGAGGGTTTGAACTCCAGTTGGGGAACATACAAAGAAACAAACCCTTGCTGGTTTGGCTCAGTGGAGAGCGTCGGCATGGGGACTGAAGGGTCCCAGGTATGATTCCAGTCAGGGGCACATGTGCGGGTTGCGGGCGCAATCCCTAGTGGGGGTTGGGGTGTGTGTGTGGGAGGCAACCGATCAATGATTCTCTCTTATCATTGATGTTTCTATCTCTCTCTTCCTCTCCCTTCCTCTCTAAAATCAATAAAAACAACAACAACCAATGAATGCATAAATAAGTGGAACAACAAATCGATGTTTCTCTCTCTCTCTCTCTCTCCTCCTTCTCTCTCTAAAATTAATAAAAGATACCATTTCTTATCTATGAGATTGTAAAAAATTAAAAAGTATAACAACACATTCTGTTGGTGAGACTGTGGTGGAACAGGCACTTGCATGTATTGCTGGTGGGTATGCAAATTGGTACAACCCTTCTGAAGGGAAATTTGGCAATATCTAATACAAGTACATAGGCACTTACCTTTTGACCCAGCAATCCCATTACTAAGTATACAAATCTCCAACAATATTAAAATACATAAGCACAGTTATTTACTATGCTACTGTTTACAAGAACAAAATATTGGAAACAACCTAAATGTCCATACATGAGACTGGTTGAATAAATTAAATAAATAAATACACACAGTGGATTACTACGTGTTATAAGAAGACTGTGGAAAATCTTAATGAACTGACCTGGAGAGAGTTCCAGGATATATTGTTAAGTGAAAAAAGCAAAGAAGATATTGACTACATATATACTACCCCTCAATAAAAGAAAGAAGAGGATATAAGAAAATACACAGGGCCCACCCGGCATGGCTCAGTGTTCAAGTATTGACTTATGAACCAGGAGGTCAGGGTTCAGTTCCTGATCAAGGCACAGGCCTGGGTTGCGGGCTTGATCCCCAGTAGGGGTGCGTATGCAGGAGGCACCCGATCAATTATTCTCTGTCATCATTGATGTTTCCATCTCTCTCTCCCTCTCCCTTCCTCTCAATAAACATATATTTTTAAAAAAGAAAATACACATGTATCTGATCATTTGCACAAGAGACAGAAAAGATACACCAGAAACTGAAGAGATTTGTTACCAATTGGTAGTAAAGTGAATGGAAAAAGAGTGAAAAGAAGGGAGGAATGAGAACAAGGTAGTAAAAAGCACGGAGAGACATGTCACTGAGTAGACCTTTTTGAATATTTTTCACTCTTAGAACCAATAATAAGAGAAGGAAAAATAACCTAAAAAACTGAGAAGTGCATCAGTGACAGATGGGACAACTTCAAGTGGCCTAATATAGAGGTATTTGAGTCTCTAAAAGAAAGAAGGACAGAATTTTTTTTCCAAACTTGAAAACTATAAATCCACAGATCTAAGAAGCTCAATAAAATCTAAGTGCAAGAAATATGGAGAAATTACAGCAAGACACATTATAATCAAATGATTCAAAAACCAGTAATAAAAGAAAATCTTAAAAGCTACCAGAGGTAAAAAAATCATCTGTTATGTACCAAAAGAACAAAGATAAAGATGAAATACTTCTCATTAGAAACAATGCAAGTGAGAAAGACAGTGGACATCTTTCAGGAGCTGAAAAAAAACACACCTGTCAACCTAGAATTCTATAAATGGAAAAAACATCTTTCAAAAATGAAGGTGAAATAAAGATTTTTGTTCAGATATACAAAAGCTGGAAAAATTACTCATCAGAAGATTCACACCACACACAAACACAAAAAAAAAAATAAAAAAAATTGAAGGACATCCTTTGGGAAGAAGTAAATCAGACCAAATGGAAACCTGGGTCTACATAAAGGAATGAAGAGCACTGAGAAGAGTAATGACATGGGTAACTAGGTAAGATTTTACAATTATTTAAATCTATTTTTGTTTTTGTTAATCCTCACCTGAGGATATTTTTCCATTGGTTTTTTTAGAGAGAGTGGAGTGTGTGCGTGGGGGCGAGGGGGAGAGGTGGAGAAACAACTATGTGAGAGAAACGCATCGATTGGTTGCCTCCCACACAAGTCCTGAAGGGAGCTGGGGATCAAACCTGCAACCTAGGTATGTGCCATTGCCTAAGAATCGAACCTGCAACCCTTTGGTACTTGGGCACACTGGCCAGGGCTAAATATTTTAAATAATATTTTGAAAGAGTAAAAAGATAACTATTTAAACAAAAATAACAGCAATATATTGTGAGTTTTCAACATGATGTAAACCCAAAATGCATGACAACAAAGATCAACTCTGGATAAAGCACAGGAAAAGTGAGGGCCTACAGTGCAAGCCCACCTTTGGCTCAAGTGCAAGCTAAAGACTGCTCTCTGTTTCTCCCTGTTGACTAGATTTTGGGATAGTCCTGTGGTTTGGTTCTTAATTTAGATACTTCAGTTTACTCACGGAGTGAGTCTTAGCCAGAACTTAGTAACTTCAATACTGTTTGCCAAGAAAGGATGCTTGGTGTTACTTTGAGGTTCAACTGACAAAGGTGTAGTACTCACTGGTGGAGAATTATTCCTAGGCGTATTAGTTAGTGCCTAATAGAATTCCTAACTGACAGAGGCACCACCACACTAAAAAATGAGTAGACTTACAGAAAATCACAGAAACATGACTCCCCCAACTTTTTATATGAGTTGACATGGGGTTAAAAACTTCTTTATGGCATGAGACAAAGCTTAAGAAAATGATAACCAAAACAAATTAGCATTGGTAGTGTTGTATTCTGAAAAAAAAAAGTAAAGATAAAAACAACAAATAAATCAACCAATTTCTTCTTTCCCTTTGACCCTTCCCATACATACCTCACCCGCCTGAGATTCAGAAAGCTCCAGCAGGAAAGGAATTTCTGTGTCAAAATTAGCAAAGAAGTTAGTCCACTGATGTTCAAAAGCCATCAAATCCTAGGAAAAAAATAAAAAGATAATGCATTTAGTCATTTAAATAAGGTACTTTAGAAAATCAGAATCATGAAGCTGCGTCTGATCTCAAAATACTAGACCAATTAAATATGTTGTTTTAAGAGGTGGTATCAAACCACTGGTACATGGTACCACATGGATGGACCTCAAAAACATGCCAGGTGAAAGAAGCCAGATATAAAAGGCCACTTTGTATATGGTCCATTTATATGAAATACCCACAAAAGACAAATCTATAAAGGCAGGAAGTAGATTGTGGTTTGCATGGGCTGGGAGTGGGAATGAACACAATGGAACTTTTTGGGTTGATGAAAATGTTCTAAAATTTAATCCTGGCAATGGCTGCAGAACTCTGTACACTTACTAAAAATTATTGAATTGTATACATAAAAAGGGTGATTTTTTTGGTATATAAATTATACTCTAATAAAACTGTTTTTAAAGGATAGTAACGGCCTCCAACTGCCTTACTTTATTTATTTTCTATTAACCTATTTTTTATTGATTTTTAGAGACAGAGAGAGAGGGAGAAACATTGATTTGTTGTTCCACTTACTTATGCATTCATTGGTTGATTCTTATATGTGCCCTGACTGGGGATCGAACTCACAACCTTGGCGAATTGGGAAGAGGCTCTAACCAACTGAGCTATCTGACCAAGGCTCATTAACATAGCTTTTATTTTATTTTTTATTTTAGTTATATAAAATATTACAGATTTCTTTCATTCAAACAAGTTCACTAAAAGTATGTACATATATACATACATATATAAATATATATGTACATATTTATGCTTTAAATATAAAGTTACTATGGAATGTCAATTGGTGGGGAAATACTACTTCATTTCAATTTAGAGTTTAACAAATTCAGAAACAGTTGATTGTAGATTGAAATTCTAGGTTCAATTGAAGTTTCTGCCACCCAATATTCTTTAAAAATTTTTTAATTCAGTTTTTATTTTTCAATTACAGTTGTCATACAAAATCATATTAGCTTCAGATGTACATCCCAGTGATTAGACATTATATACCTTACTAAGTAATCAACCTGGTAAGTCCTGTACCCATCTGATACCATACATAGTTATTAGAATACTAGAGGCCCAGTGCACGACATTTGTGCGCTTGGAGGAAGGGGGTTCCCTCAGCTGGCCTGCACCCTCTTGCAGTCTAGGACCCCCAAGGGATGTCTGACTGCCGGCTTAGGCCTGCTCCCCACTGCTGCTGTGCTCGCCAGCCATGAGCGCAGCTTCTGGCTGAGCGGTGCTCCCCCTGTGGGAGCACACTGACCACCAGGGGGCAGCTCCTGCATTGAATGTCTGCCCCCTGGTGGTCAGTGCATGTCATAGTGACTGGTTGTTCCGTTCAGTCGATTTGCATATTAGGGTTTTATTATATAGGATTATTGATTATAGTATTTCCTATGCTGTACTTTACATCCCCATGACTATTCTGTAACTACCAATTTGTACTTCTTAATTCACTTTTTTCACCCATGCCCCGAACTCCCATTCCATATGGCAACCATCAAGTGTTCTTTATATCTATGAGTCTATTTCTATTCTGCTTGTTCATTTATTTTGTTTTTAGATTCAATTGTTAATAGATATGTATCTATTGCCATTTTATTATTCTTATCTTTTATTTTATATTTTCCTTCTTCTTAAAGAAAACCCTTTACATTTTATGTAATACAGGTTTGATGGTAGTGAACTCCTTTAGGTTTTTCTTGTCTGGGAAGCTCTTCATAAGTCCTTTGATTCTAAATGATAGCTTTGCTAGGTAGAGTAATCTTGGTTGTAGGTCCTTGATTTCCATCACTTTGAATATTTTTTGCCACTCCCCTGTGGCCTGCAAAGTTTCTGTTGAGAAATCAGCTGTCAGTCTTAAGGAAGCTCCCTTGTAGGTAGTTAACTACTTTGCTCTTGCTGCTTTTAAGATTCTCTCTTTTAAAAAATAATTTTTAAAAATGTTATTTGTTGCCTTAGAGAAAGAGAGAAAGAGGGAGAGGAGGGGAGAGAGCAGGAGAGAAACACTGAGTTGTTTCATTTATTTATGCATTCATTGGTTGCTTCTTGTATGTGTCCTGACTACGGATCAAATCCACAACCTTGGAACATCAGGACAATGCTTCATCCACCAGAGCTACCCGGCCAGGGTTGGATTCCCTTTGTGTTTAACCTTTTGTATTTTAATTATGTGTGTTGCTGTGGGCCTCTTTGGGTTCATCTTCTTTGGGACTCTCTGTGCTGCCTGGACTTGTATGTTTATTTCCTTCACCAAGTTAGACAAGTTTTCTGTCATTATTTTTTTAAATAAGTTTTCAATTTCTTGCTTTCTTCTCATTCCAGAACCCCCATCATGCAAATATTAGTGCACTTGAAGTCATCCCATAGGCTCCTTACACTATTCATATATATATTGAGGAAGGAAGAGGGAGAGAGGGACAGAAACATCCATGATGAGAGCGAATCACCGATCTGCCACCTCCTGCAAGTCCCTGACCAGAATTGAACCTGGGACCCCTCAGTTCGCATGCTGATGCTCCATCCACTGAGCCAAATCGGCCAGGGCACCTTACACTATTCTTATTTAAAAAAATTATTTTTGCTTTTTGCTATTCTGATTAGGTGGGTTTTTCTTTCTTTTCTTCTTCCTTTCTTTCTTTCTTCCTTTCTTTTTCTCTTTCTTTTTCTTCCTTCTTTACATTTCAAGTCACTGTTTTATTTCTTGGCTTCATCTACTCTGTTGATTCCCTATAAATTATTCTTCATTTCAGTTAGTGTATCCTTCATTTCTTACTGGCTCTGTTTTTTTTGTTTGTTTGTTTTTTTATGGTTTTTTGCAAGTTCAGACATTTGGATCTATGGCATGGAATTGCTTCTGAATCCAATAGATTGCTTGTCTCCATTTTGTTTAGCTCTTTTTCTGGAGTTTCACTCTATTCTTTCATTTGGAACACATTTCTTTGTTTCCTAATTTTGGGAGCTTCCCTGCGTTTTTTCTATGTATTAGGTAAAGCTGCCCCATCTCCTGGGCTTGGTAGAGTGACCCAATGTAGTAAGTCCTGTAGGGGTCCAGTGGCACAGTCTCCAGGTTCACCCAAGCTGGCCACTCCAGGTGTGCCCCCTACCCCAACCCCATGTGGGCCATGAATACCCTTCCTGTTGTATTTGAGCCTTGATTGTTGTTGGCACGTAAATGGCAGTAATTTATCCCAAGGCCTATCAGCTGTAAAAACTGGCTGCGATGCAGGGCCTCTCCCCATGGACCAGGACTTACTTCAGTGGTGCTCTGGTGCTCACTGAGTGTCCCCCTTAAGTGTGTTGCTTATGGAGATGGATGGGTGGTGCTTCAACATGGTCTGAAGCTGTCTATCAGGTGTACTGGCTCTGGGGCCTCTAGAGCAGTGGTTGCCAACCAGTGGTCCATGAAGTCCACTACTCTGAGAGATGCAGGCCAAGGTCAGCCTGCCTATATTCTGCCTAGGGTCATCTGGTATAACCTACAAAGCAATCTACAGATGGCTGCTACTTGTGCAGGGCTTGGAGGTGCCTAGGAGAGGCCAAGCTTCGAACCAAGGCCAGTTGCTGCTACTTCCAGGCCTGGAGCCACTTAGCTAATGGTGCAGGGTACATTGAGGCCAGATGCTGCTCGTTTGATTTTATGAAAGTCTGAAACAAGAGCCAAGAGGCCATTCATATGGAAAAGCCACTGGAAGAAGCATGGGTGGGCCTGCAAGTTGGTGAGGGCGGGGTTTCAGGGAATCATGAGGACAGGCTGACCAGTATAAATCAGGTTGGTGGAGACTCAGGTATGGCACCTGCCTGCTGGCTCTGTGGGGGGATGGCTTAGAAACGGAACAATGGCCTCTGCCAGCACTTCTGGTGTGGAGAAAGCTTCCCCTCCACTTGCCCTGATGCCAGACAGTTCAGTTCCTCCCCATATGTCCCTGGTGCCTTTCAAGCTGCTGCTCCAGCGCTAGAACTCAGAAAGAATGAGTTGGAATAAATCTGTGAGGGCCCTTTAATAGGAACTGCCTGGGACTCCAGCAGCTCTCTGTCTCACTCAGCCACAATCCCTGTTGGTTTTTATAGCCAGAACTTATGGGGACTCTTCTTTCTGACACAGGAACCCTGGGCAGGGAAGCCAGGTGTCCTTTGCTCTTCAGGGAGGACCACTGCAGTGGAGATATCTCTCCCAATATTTATCCACTTCACGTGGGTGTGGGACCAGCCTGTTCTGCATCTCCACCCCTCCTATCAGTCTCAATGTGGCTTCTTTTTTAAATCCTCAGTTGTAGGACTTCCATTCAGCTAAATTTCAGGTGGTTCTGAATGATAGTTATTCTGCAGTTTAGTTGTAATTTTGATATGGTTGTGGGAGGATGTATCACATTTTCCAAGTGCCTTACTTCACCAACCCTTGTTGGGGAGAGGGAGTTGTATATTTATTTATTTAGTTAATTCTCACCCAAGGATATTTTCAATTGAGTTTTAGAGAGAGTGGGAGGGATGGGGAGAGACACACAGAGAGGAACATCAATGTGATAGAGAGAAATAGACTGGTTGCCTCCTGCACATGCCTGAACCGGGGTCAGGGATCGAGCCTGCAACCGAGGTGTGTGCCCTTGACTGGAATCAAAACTGGGACCCTTCAACCCATGGCCAACTCTCTATCCACTGTGCCAACCCAGCTAAGGTGAGGCAGTTATTTATGAGGCACCTACAGGATGATACAACATTTAGTGCCAAAAGGGTCATATCAAATGAAGCTTTGTTCAAGGACAAATTAGTTGACTTTAGTTAGAAGTTTTGTGGTTCTTGAGGTGGCCAGTGGCCCAGAGGCCTCTCCTCCCTCATAACATCTTTTTAGTGGTCGCAGGAGTATAAATAATTCTGCGCCTTTCCCAGTTGACTCGCCTCTATGTGAAGCCTGCCTTCCTCCACCATCCCAGCTGCCTTTCAGTCTCCTCTC